AAATCGCAACTATTTCAAGATTCGCGACAATCTCTCCGAACTGCTTGCTGAAAGTGTGTACATGTTGATTGTCCCCGACAGTGTTTTACAATGCTTTTGTTCCTGTTCAAATGCAAAAGACTGACCTGTTCAAACTTCACAAAGAGGCATTGAAAAATCACTTCAAGGATAATTTTAGCCCTCTTCTAGAAATTGTCCCTCTTAATACCAATCAATTTTGGAGTGTTATCGCTAAATCGGACCGAAATGTAGCAAAGATTGTATAGGCGATCTTCTCCGAATGATTTCCTTGCGTAAATCCGTGTCATTATCGCTTACTTACAGCAGATGAGCTCCTGCGAAGTTGGTTTGACCAAGCAATTCACAAATAAACTTTGAAGGACAACAGTTTGCACTTTGAGCAAATTTGATTGGAAGAGATATCGATAAGGAAATATTCAGAATTATTGTTCCTAAAAAAGTTATCAACAAAGTTTTCAAATCCTATAAGGCTTAACAAACGATGGCAGATAACCGGTCAAAATACTATTAGCACCTTGTTTAGAAATTTTGCATTGTAGTAGCATTAGCTGCATTTCAATTTCCAAAAGAATTAAAGAAACAAGAAAGAAAACAACTAGTCATATAGATGGGACTTTCTTATATTTGAAGTGAAGTCAGAAAGTATGCAAATGGACTTCTCAACTTACCCAAGCAAAATTTTCAGGGGAGGCTTGTACGTAGAGATTGCAAGGTTCTAGAGAACGTTTGGTTTATAGCCTACATTCTCTTGATTTTCATTTTATCGCTACTTATGCACCCTAAATTCAATCCTCTCCTTTCACAACATCTGCCTCATAAATGATACAGCAAATGGATTAGTTCTCTTATAGATGGCCAAACTCCAAATAAACTGTAATAAACAAAACGTTTCTTGCTGGAATTATAGTAATATGTTTAATGGCTGTGCTGCTACGTAATAGGTCGGTTGCCCAAAATCAGAACTTTCTTTTTAAGAAATTGATTTCATTGATCTGCTGCAATTTTTCCCCAAAGATAGCAGCCAGAATTGAAGCGTAATGGCGTCACGAGGCTGCGTCTGACTCAGGGACATCAATGAAAGAAGGCCTCGCTGCGTAGGTGAAGCGGAAACGAGCTGATGGGCATTTCTAACAGTTCACCCCGAAATTCGAGAGAACATGTGATTTCGTCCTTTGATATGCGTTGGTAGACCAGTTCAAACCAATAAAGGGAAATAGCTTTCGAACGGAAGTAGTGCGATGTGGGCAGTTAATTGCTGAAGGAAAGTGGATGCAGTAAGTGAGGTAAAAGGCTACTAAAAATTTTAAAGATGGTTTTGATAGAACTTTATTATTACCAAAATAGTTTGGAACGTTTTCAAAACTCAAATAATGCTGGATTTATTTTAAACAAGACTGGTCGAATTAAGGCCTACCATCAGACTAAAACCCTGCATTTATGATATCAAATCTTAAAAAGATATCAGAATAGAATCTCAAGCATTTTGT